GGGAGATTTTCTTGTCAGCTTGCTCCCGAGCCATGTATCCACGTCCTTTTCGTGCATCCGGATCTCGGCTGCTGATGGGGTCTGTGACGGTGACGTCACAGATCCAGATGGCTCCAGAGCTGCGGTCGCGGAGGGCGAGGTCGGCCTTGTGGCCGTCTACGGGGCTGTAGATGGTGGTCTCCTTGGTGACTATAAAATCAGCGTCTCGGGCCATCCGAATGCTCTCGTCCCGCAGGGCATTATGGGTGTCAGTCCGTCCGTGCCCGGTGCCACACCGAAGTAGGTGGTTGGGCAGCCTAGTGTCGAGGATTTCGAATTCCTCGGCGCAGTTGCAAGTGCGGGGGGCTGGGAATGGAAGGCCGAGGCGGAAGGCCAGGGCAATGGCGAAGTGTGGAGCTTTGAGGCGGAGGGATGGGAAGATGGGGATGGCCTGAAGCCAGTCCCCTGCTCCATATCCAGCCAAGGAGAAGAGTCGTTGAGTGTGCCCGGAGTGGGGGTTTGGGTCCATTGTCCGTGAGGCTGCGACTTGGTCGGCGTATCGCACGGCCTGGACCTCGAGGGATAAGCGGTGTTGGAGAGGGGAGCCTGAGGTTTCCCTCCGTTCGGAGTGCAGGAGCTCCCGGGCCCGTGGGGGCATTGCCGCTTCACATTTCACCAGCCAGGTATGCAGGTGGGTGGGAGTGGTGAACGGAGGCGTGAGGTGCCGGACAGTATCAGCCAGGGGCCCTCCTGACGCTGCTGGGAGGGCAGCCAAGAGGCCCTGGGCTTGGGTGATGCTGGTGAGGTAGGCTGGGTGTCCCTCAATTGCTGGGTCGGTGAGACCCAGCCCTCCGAGAGAGGGAGGGAGGGACGCTTGAGCCCAAGTGCGCGCTCGCTCCACCTCGCCTCGTGGTGGTTGGAGGTTGCAGGCGCGCAGAAGAGTATGGAATAGCTCCCTACCCCAGTCGGACCAGAGGTCCAGGGGTAGGAAGTCAAGGGGGGTGGTGCGGGTTAAGTATGAGATACGCCGAGATACGCAGCGTGTGAGGAGGAGGGATGCCGACTGAGGGTCCATTGTGGCCAGTGTGGCAAGGGGCTCGGCCAGCAGGGCTAGCTGAGTGCGGAGGAAGGTGGCTGTGCCCTCGGCCGTGCCTATGAAGCTGCCAAGCACGCGGACCCCTTCTGTAGTGAAAGGAATGTCTGGGGGGAGGCGGTCAGGTGCAGGGTGCTCGGCCGACCATGCCGCGCATTTCGCGGGGTTGTGGGAGAGACCGATGCGGTCCATGGCCGCTGTGAAGTTGAGGAACGCCGAGGTGCAGGCGTCCGGATCGCCGACGAAAGTGATGTCGTCGGCGTACGCGAGGCAGAGGACCTCGGGGTGGGCCGCGGCGGTTGCCCGGAGCGCTGGGTGGATGGCGGCTGCGAAGAGGAGGGGGCCCATGGGGTCCCCTTGGCGAACTCCCCGCGCGCTGAGTAGGGGTGGGCTGTCGAACTCGGCGTCGAGGTAGAGCAGAGACGGGGCGCCATAGGAGAATTGTATAAAGGGAAGAAGCAGGCGCAGGGGCGAGGTGTTGATTGCGTGGATGATGGCCGCGCGGTCAACACTATTAAAGGCGTTTGAAAGGTCGACTTGTAGGATGAGTGAGCCCGGGCGCGCTGAGGTAAAGCCCCTGGTGGCATGGATAATGGTTTCTCCGCCGCTTCTGATGGCTACCCCGTATTGGTGTGGTAGGAAGTAGTCTTGCGCGGATTGCGTGGAGGAGATCAGGGCGGATTTTGCTGCTAGCCGATGGAGACACTCTCCTATTGCGATGGGGCGGGTACCCCCATCTGGCTTGGTAAGGGCCAGGAGGCGTGAGGAGGTAACGAGCTGGCTGACCTCGTGCGGCAGGTTACCCGCGAGTAACCGCTGGACGAGCTGGTGAAGATGTGTGGTGACGGTGGGGTTGGACAGCGAGGCATCGCGAAGGTGCTCGAAGGTCATCCCCGAGGGGCCTGCCCCAACTCCATTTTCGGAGCGAGAGAGGAGCTTCGCGAACGTAGCGAAATCGACTGTCGGTGGCCTGCAGGTTTCGTCAAGCTGTGGCCAGGTGAGGTTTTCGACGAGCGGAGGGGGGTGTTTTGACTTCAGCGCGTCCAGGACCGTGGGGGTGGACTTGCTGACTGGGGTCGAAGTCAACGCGAGCAGTGCCCGTCGCAAACTGCCTCGTCGTACCAAGCCCTCGGCGCGGGATATTTTCCCAAGAGTGTCAGGTACGTGGCGGGGAGGGGGTGGCAGGGTGACAGCAGAGGCGGCTGCTTGATACAGTGTGTCCCAATGGCCCGCGAGAAATTGTCGAAGTCGTCGTTCCGTCGCGGGCCAGTCAGGACGTCGTGGTGAGGGTAGGCGAAGTGTGAGGCGCGGGAGGTAAAGTAACAGGATCCAACCCTCGATGGAGGTTGGATGTTTGGCGAGGAAAAGGAGGGGTGTCAGTAGGGCGAGCACGAAAAATTGACGGATTTGGGGGGGTAACCGGCGGGAGAGAGGGGGTTGGCGACTGTCGCAGAGAACTGCAACGTCCCAAGTGGCGATGACGGCGAATCGGGAGGGGTCATTCGCCAGTTCTTCCGGGGACAGCTGCGGAACTGCCTGGGGATGGGTGTCCAGCGGTGCCCGAGGATTGTGCATGCGGCTGGACCCTCGTCCCCTAGATCTGGGAGTTGGGTCAGTCTCTCTTCCTCCAGCGCGCCTGCTTGTTTCGACGTCTTCCTCCTCACTGGAGGTCTCAGTCGTGGGGTCTTCCTGCTCCCCGGGTACATAAGTTCCGTCTGCCCGCTCCTCCTCAGCAGTTGTTCTTTGCAGATCCGAGGCACTTAAAGCCCTGTTCGCTGCCTGCTGGAATCCGTTCAGCGGTCCTCCGTCGGAGGACAGATTGCCACGCCTTGCCGCCCCGCGACCGCACCCTCCGGCTGTCCGTGTATTGAGTCTTCCGCGTCTGCCTCCGTGGTTTCCTCTCGGGGTGGCCCTTGTCGCCGTTCGGCTTTCGTGCCGAGTCGTGGGGGGTGCCGAGTGCGGCGCGCCTCCTCGGGATGGAGCGACCTGCGCGGGAGCGTTCTGCCGATTTGGAGAGTACTGGGGACAGCGAGTCCCCCCAAGGTCGGGCGAGTCCTCCGGCACCGTCGAACTGAGATTGGGAGCGCGGGCTCCTCGTCCCCTCGACGGCTCGCCAACAGACTCCCGAGCGGATGCGTGGGCAGTCTCGGGGCAGGACTGCTGCGCCCCAGAGGCACGAGGAGAAGTCCCCCGAGCGCGCCTTGGAGATGGGTCGTGAACCCGTGGCGCGTGGCGAGGTGCATCAGTCGCCGCGCCAGCAGCATCCCTCTCGCCGAGGGACGCCTCAGCGCCGCCCACAGGCGGGGCCGGCGCAGCAGCGCCGGACTCCGCAGGCGCCGCGCGGGCGTTCGGGCCAGCGCGTCGGCTGGAGGGCTGGCGGGGGGAGTAACCGTGGATCAGCAGCGGAGAGGCGCCTAGGGCGGGCCGCCGCGACTCTCGAGGGCTTGTTCCGCACTGTCGCCCACCCCCAGCAGGCTCTGGCGTATGCTCCGCAGCCTCTGGCGTCCCAGCAGTACCAGCAGGCGCACCCGCAGCCCTTGCGTTTCCCCCTTCCTCAGGTGCCGGCGCAGGTGTTCCCTCCCCGCACCGTGACGTCTCTCCTGCTCCCCGACAGCCAGCACCTCGTGGCGTCCCTTCCCTCTGCACCTCCTCCGCCAATCCTTCCCTCGGCCGGTCCCTTCGATCCGCGTCGGTCGGATGTGCGGTCCGCGGAGACACTGCCGCCCTGGCAGCCGACGCCCCCGGATGCGTCGGTGGTAGGATGGCCCCGTGGCCAGCCGTCGTTGGTGGCACCAGCATCGTTTGGCGAAAGGGCGACAGCGCCCTTTGTCCCCCCCCGCCGTTCGCTGGCGTCACCGACTGGAGTTGAGGGGGGGGCAGAAGCAGCGGAGATGGGGGGGGCGGAGTCCACCGGCGAGGACTCGCCTCCTGGGGACCAGGGGCGGCGTCGCTCGGGTGGGCTGCGGATGCCGCCGAGGGCGCAGCTGGAGCGCCTGCGGGGGAGGGAGCGGCTGGCGGAGACTGCGATCCCAGTCGCCACGCTTCGTCGGCTCTGGCACGCGCAGCGGGCGATGGGGTTTGCTTTGGAGATGCTGACGGACTCACACTCCGTTCTACGGAGCTCAGTGAGCCCGTGCAAGATGCCTCACGATCCACTCCACCGCTGCGCGATGGCTGCAGCTGATCTGGCTGTCGTGTCCACGCGAGTGCAGTCTGCGCCCGCCTCGGGAACCGTGTTGGACCCGCGCCTGCTCGCCGTGATGCGGACAGTATCGGCGAGCGTAGACTCGGCTGCAGCTGTAGACATCGTTGGCGGTGCCGTGTCAGCGCTGATGCTCCTGGGGGACTATGTGAGGGCCCTGCTTGAGGAGGCTGGAGCGGACGAAGCCGCATGATGGGCTGTCGTCGTGTGTAGGTTCTTGTTGGTGAAGTGCGCCCTAGCGTGAGCGTTCTGGTAAGCTCTGTCAGGTTCTCCATGCTTGTTTGTCGAGTGTAGTGTTGGCGTGTTGTAGACCCCGGATGTGTGTATTGGTTGTTGGCGTAGTTGACTTTGAAGCCTGGTGTTCTTGCCGCCCCTCACGCGCGGCCGGAGGCCGCCGACGCGAGCCGCCACCAAGGGTGGGAGAAAAAGAAAGAACTGGAAACTAAACTGGAGGAATGAGCTAGGGAGAGAGCTTAAATAGCTAGGGAGGGACTCATGCTCTCTCTCTCTCTCTCGCTCTCTCTCTCTCTCTCTCTCTCTCTCTCTCTCTCTCTCTCTCTCTCTCTCTCTCTCTCTCTCTCTCTCTCTCTCTCTCTCTCTATGCGAAGCTCACTAAAAGTTTAGTGTCAAGGCTTATCGCGATTGCCCACTGCATTAACTTGCTTTCAACACCGATTTCCAACCCTTCATTGTTGTATCTCTCTTATTCCCACCCACGCCACACAGGGATCTCTCGTCCAACATGTTCACTGACTCCATTCCCAGCAGCATCCTCTCGCTCACTCAACTGGTTTCTCTGTACGTAGCTCATTCAATTCTTGCAATCACTCTATGCCAGGGTTGCATCGCTATTGCTTGTGACATCATCTCTAGCGTTCCTCGATCCAGTTCCAGAGCATGCTTGGATGATCTCTGACTGGTTAAACGGCATCTGAACCTCGTGGAAACCATGTGCTCCGCATGCTTGCCTGGACCTTCCACCCATTCCAACATACATGCTTTCAAGATTTTCCCCTTGATTTTCCTAACCAGCTGAGCATTCACCTTGCAAGTAGACATGGGCAAAATGCGATTGCGATTTAAATCGCATCGCATTGCGGGGTGATTCGATTAAATGCGATGCGATGTAAAATTACATCGCAGCATTTAATTTCTGGAAATTTTTAAATCGCACATCGCGTTCTGCACGTGATGAATATTAGGACCGCATGCGGTATTGAATTAAATCGCGCGATGCGATTTTAAATCGCATCGCGTTTTAAAACACAATGAAAAAAACAAAAACAAAAAAGAAATAAAACCATGGCTGCTGGGAAATTGAATCACGGGCAGTCGTAAGCTAGAGTGCAAATAAATAGTGTGGTTTTGTAGTGGGTTTCAGAGTGGGTCTCAGTTCAACATCGCGTGTTAGAAAAAAAAAAGAAAAAAAAACAAACAAACAAACATATCGCATTTAAATCGCGTGTTACAACGCGATTAAACTGCGATTTAAAAAAATCACACGATAATGAATTCATTGCACTGCGCGATGATTATATTAAAAAACAAATCGCAAAAAAGCGATGCGATGGGATTTTTTCTTGCCGGTGTCTACTTGCAATTGCAAGTGACTCATTCTGTGAAACCTTCGTTGGATGTACGCTAATGCAGTTGTATTGTTTTCGAAGAGTTTTTTTTTTACATCGTTTTGCTAATGGTTATGGTGGTCAGCTAACAAAATTCTCTGGGCTGCCCAGACAGTTCCATTTTGCACCAATATCCGTTCCCCTCACAGAACTCCTATGCATGATTGCCAGAACCCATGCAGAAATTTTGCAGTTGCTTTTCGATTTTCTGCTCGCCATTTGACCGGAATTACGGCATCCCCTTTTTAATGCACCATGCCCCCTTCTCTGTGCCACTTTCCCTATTTCACTCCCTCCACAAAATCCAGCACCTCTCCTTTCACACGCGTACTCGGAAACACGCCATACTTCCTAGTTGTTTCGGAGTTAGTTAACGGCCAAAACTTTGGTAGTGTCTTGTTTTCATGGCATTTGTTTTCGACCATCCGATGCATACGCTAATTGTTGGCTTTGACGTTGAAAAAACGCGCAAGCTGCATTGCCATGGCTTAAATCGGATCTAAAGCTGATTTAACGACAGACGAGCTCCTGAAAGGTTTTTTTGTTCTCGATCCATTTGGGCCGAGAGATGTAATGTAATCTCCATGGAGTTTTCTGCCTGGCTCTACTAGTCCCCTGCCCTCTTTCCCTCCCCTTTCTCCCTCTTCCTTGCACGGACTACTCGTCATGGTCAAACAGAAATTTAGGTGGAAATCCCTTAAATGGATCCATTCCAGCCTCTCTTGACTCAATGGTCATGTTGGAGAATCTGTGAGTATCATGACAACAGTAGCCGGGGGGTGCTGGAGCCAACTAACAACAACGCTTGATGGCTTTTCCTTTTCTTGCTCCGGTGTGTGTTCGATTTTCTCAATTAATGTTTTACATTAAAGATCCTCCTTCTATCTATTTCTTTTATTTCCCTCCCTTGGTTCCTTTACCCCTGGTATTCCGTCTTCTTTGCGTTACCCATGGGTTACACCATTACTCTTTACGGACTGTCAGAAATCTGAGTGGAAGCCACTTGAAAGGGTCCATTCCAACTACTCTTGGCAACATGGGCAGCTTGAAGTCTCTGTGAGTATAGACATTGGCAGCAGTACTGCCACTTCTTCTTTAAGGCGCACTAGCGTCTGACTATTACATTGCTGCATACACTCCTGTTCATGGCTATCACTGCAGTGCCTGCAGTTCTCTTCACAATATCGGGAACCTTGCTTGAGTTATCCTGTAGTTTAGAATTGTCGACAGTCTCTTTTGCCACACATTTCCGTATCAGCGTATTCATTGCGAAATATGTTGGTCCAAACCACCCAAATCCAAATGTGGATGGAAAGAGAGAAACGTGGAAGCACAGGTCTTTGTTTCCAAACCCGTGATATAACCGTTCTTCCCTGTGCACCTACGTTCAAATGAGCAGGTACATGAATGATAACCAGCTCACTGGGAGCATTCCGGGCTTCAACAACACAATGAATCTGACTGAACTGTACGCATACGTCTGTATTTTGTTATTCCACAAGCACAATTTTAAAGGACATCATGCAAGTGCATTGTCACAAGCGAAACAGCAGTCACTGCTTGGAGAATGTGAGAACCAAGCATGCATGCATACATGCACACACACACACACACACACACACACACACACACACACACACACGCACGCACGCGCGCACGTACGCACATGCACGCACGCACGCACGCACGCACATGCATGCATGCATGCATTTCTTCGTAGTGTTGACAAGTAAGGACAAACGGTTATCAGGTTTGAGTAATACTGCAAGCTAACTCTCAGCATGGTCATCAGTTCTATTCCTGCTGCAAGTTTGGACTGTTTGTTGTATAATCAAATGTGTACAATATGTGCACGTCTAAATGGTCTTATGTCATTGCTAATGCTCCGAGAAGATGCTGGAAAAGTTGCAATTTGTGCAGACTCCCTTTTTTTAATAGGCGCATTCAGCTTTGCCACGATGTTTAGATGTCAATGTTGTATATTGTCGTTACTTCACGCTGTTCTCCACTATTGTTGTATGCTGCCTCTACTGGTTACACACTAAGTGGGAAAATTCGCGTTTCGCGTAAATTCGCTAACGAATTTACGCTGGCGTAAATTCGCTCGAACGCCAGGGCCCTGTTTTGAATTCGTTGGGAAATTCGTTCTGCCCGGGCAGGAAAAAAATGCCCGGGCAGGCCCAAAAAAAAAGTTCCCAGGTAGGGGGGGCGTGGGGGGTTTCAGGGCAACTCTTTTTAGCAGAAAATTATTATTGCTTCTCAAAGTTTATGGCAATAGCATGTTCTAGAGTTTGGGGGGTATCCTTTGCATTAACACGCCCTGCAGCAACCTACAGCAAGATGATGAACCATACTCATGAGGTAAGCTAATGTCTATGCTTAAACTAGATCTTCTAGCTATGACGCGGAGTGATAAGCTAGATCTACTCTACGTCTGGTAGAGTAGCGTGTGAGATGCGTGCGTGATATGGTTGCGTAAGTTGGGTGGTGGATGGGTTGGGTTCTCTAGATGTGGTGGGGTTTGATGCGGTTGGGAGCGTGGGAGGGGTTGGAGCATTTTTGGAGGTTCAAAAGTTAGAATCGCGAATTGGCGAGGCCACGGATGGCTTCGCCAAGTCGCTGCGAATCGAGTTGGGAAATTCGTGTTTTTTTGTCCAGGCTGCCCCAAAAAATTTCCCCCAGCGTTTCGCGAATTTCATGTAAATTCGCGTTTGCGAATTTACGCTTCCGAATTTACGCAAAACGCTGGGGGACCCCAACGAATTTGCCCACTTAGGTTACACACACTCTCTCACTCTCTGTACATACGATCCTTGTTCTTCTGTGTCTCCTCCTGTCCATCAGGGTGTTGAGTGGGAATCAGCTGAGTGGGCTCATCCCCCCCTCTATTACCTTCTGCAAACAGCTTCAACGTCTGTGAGTTTCCAGTTCGCTCATTCTACAGCCGCTGCTGTGTACCATGGATAAGCAGCAGGCTGTGGAGCAAACGGTGCTACTGCTACCCTTGCCATGGCTTTTGCTAATCTTGCCACAGTTTTTGAGAGGTGCCGATATTTAGCTTGTACAAAAGATGCCTTGCCATGTGGTCACTCTACAAGACGACTACCAGCACGCAAGGAAAATATATCCATGTCACTCGATTGTATTCCAGGTGGCTCGACAACAATTCACTGAGTGGGATCCTTCCAAAACTTCTTGGGATTATGACTCAGCTTACCTCCTTGTATGAAAATACTTCATACTTCTTAGTGCTGCTGTGTCATACTTATTTGGTTGTTGCAATTCCATCAAGCAATCAGCAGATTAATTGTTACCCTAATGGCCAAGCATGTCTGAGAGGTGGACAACAGTCTCACGGCCCCATACACCTATCCACATCATCCTTATGGCTGCAGGAGAATCAATGACACTAGTCTCAGTGGAACATTGCCAACATTTCTTGGGAGTTTCAGTTCCCTCGATTCACTGTACGTGAAGCACTAGCCATCCACCACATGGTCTGCACCGCCCATGGCATGGAGCTATGCATGGCGGCTGCAGAGCATGTTTGCTACAAATCGAAGGTGATTTTTGAGTCGACTCAAAAAGCATGTTTGCTACAAATCGGTAACAGCATCTGAGGCTCTTCAGACTAACCAAATCTTTGTGGCGAAGTGTGCTGGGGGACGTTGGAGGTGGTAGGTATTGCTATGGGTAAGAGCAACGAGTCAATGAGAAGTTCAACATGTTGAGATGTCAATGAGAACCGTGAATGGCCTACTAAGTGGCATAAATTATATTGATTTTTAACTAAACTCCAACATGTTGCGATATTACGGATCAATGAGAACAGTAAATGCCCTACAATGTAGCAGATGCCTATGTATTCCACCTTTCCATCTCCCTTATCTCTTACAGCAACATCAGCGGCACAAACCTCACGTGCCCACCGGACTACATCGCCTGTGGACCAACACAGTCGCCTAAGACAGCCTTCTGTCGAACGTGCCCTTCCTTCTGCAGCACTTGTGGCAAACCATCACCAGGTATGCGGAAAAGCCTGCTTGCACGAGAGCAAGACAGTGTTGGTGAAAAATCTTCCCTGCGCAAGGCATGACATAAGCTGCGGCTCCCATGGGCTGAATTGTAACACTGGCTTTAGATAACCAACAGAGTGCACTACAACATGGCACCAGTGTTTTTCAACCACGGATCTGCAGCACTAAGACCAGTCATTATTCTCATGTCGTGCCATTACAATTGGTGCACCACCCACGACATCCTCCCCTGTGCAAGTTTGACGGCTCGTCAGACTGCAATAAGCTGTGCCCTTCATCTCTGGTTTGACACTCTGCTCAGCTGCACCTTCTTCAACTTGTGGGAATGAACTGGTTGTTATGCCCCTATCATTGGTCTATGCTCGTGTAGGGTCAGCCACAAGCAACAGCAGCCCCAGCAGCACCGAGTCATCTTCACCAGCAGCATCTGGAGGAGGGGGTGTGTCGGTGGGAGTCATCATTGGCATTGCCGTTGCGGCTGGGGTCATTCTTCTGCTTCTCATTGCGGCTGGGGCCATTCTTCTCTACTTCAGGCACAAGATGGAGCAGAAGAAAACAAGTAAGGAGAATGGAGAAAACAACAGAAGTTGCAAAACGTTCATGGTCTTAATTTAGACACTTTGTTTTTTCTATGCAGTTAATTTCAGCATAACAGCATGCACGGGGCAAGCTTTTCTTTGCATGGGACTCCCTTCATCCCTCTCCCCACAAGCAGGCCTGGAAACCAGCCTGGCCGCTGCACACTGCACCGAGTTCTCTCTGGCTGAGGTCCTCAAGGCCACCAACAATTGGTCGGAGGACAACCAGCTTGGCTCGGGTGCCTTTGGTGATGTCTACAAGGGCGTGTCTCCCCGCGATGGCACCACAGTGTGGGCTGTGAAGCGAGCCAAGCTGATTGACGTGGATTTCCAGAGGGAGGTCCGTGAGCCGCACCTTGGGAGTGGCTGGACTGCAGGAAATTAGTGAAGGGAAATGTTTTTAAGACTTTCTTGTGTTAAGTGTATCCGACGATTCAAGCTTGTGGGGTCTTCTCTCTACGTTCCTATATTTTGGTTGGTCCTTGTTCCTTGCTTCTTATTCCGTTCTTCATTCTCTTGGCTCCCTTTGTTCCTCTTTCTCCACTTCTTTCTCTACTCCGCTGTGCTCACTTTCTCTTTCAGATCCTCCAAATGGCCGACAAGAACCATCCCAACATTGTGCGGCTGCTCGGGTTTGCGGTTGGAGGGGACGTGAGGTCGAAAATCGAGCAGATCTTGATCTACGAGTTTGTGTCCAATGGCGATCTCCACAAGTGGATTGATCGCGGTGAGTGTGCAAGTCACTGTACCACATCACTCAGGTATCGGAATCCAGGAGTGCAAGGGAGGAGGCGGTTCTTTGGGGGGGTTTCGGTCTATACGACTTGACGCCTAATGTGCTCGAAGTGCTAAGACGTGAACTTTTTGACACTACTCGAAGAGGCTGGGCTCACTTCTGATGGTGTGATGGATGTGTGTTGGCGTCGAGTCCTGTGCAAGTTCAAGGCATGAGTGTGTGAAAAGAAGCAATCAGACTCCTCACCAGAAATGCTTGTCAGTCTGGAACCAATCACATCTGTCAGTATCTCAACTGTCTGACTTGGGGATATGTTATGGAGCAGGCTGGACGTGCCAATGAAGGTGGGGTGTTAACCCAGACACATAATCTGCTGTTTGGTGTGAAAATAACCGACACAGACAGCATTCTCTACGTATCCATCTGTTTCAAGCAGACAACTTCTAGGGGAAAGGGGTCGGTTTTCCTGTATGGCTATCCTCTTGTCGTGTATGATCGGTGCAAATGTCTTTGGCCTTTATGCCACTTGCTGACAGCATGGAAGGTTAGGTCTATGCGCACGCTGTGTGCGGTTGAATCTGTCACTACTACGTAATTCCACAGATTCAGCTCAATTTTGTCAGATCAGTTATGAGATGGGTGGAATTATGTCACCCTCTCTATGTTGATGTGTTCACCGTTGTTGTCAACTTCTTTTCTTATTCTTTTGCAGATGCATCCAATCCTCTAAGCTTCAAGCAGCGGCTGGACATTCTCATTGGAATTGCACGCGGCTTTGAGTACCTCCACAGCTTCGACATTGTGCATCGCGACATCAAGCCGGCAAACATCCTCATTACTGCTGACATGCAGGCAAGCTTGGTTCCACCTCAACTTGTGTCATGGTCTCGAAACAGAAGGGACATGCATGAATCAAGAGTGCATTCGGACAAAGCTCACATGGGCAACAACAGTGTGACCTTCTTTTTGAGTTGTTTTTGCCTTTTTCTCTTACACTCAAGTTTCTCTTCTCGATCACTGTTTCCTTTGCTCTTCGCTCATTGATGCTATCACCCGACCGCTCACCACCAGGCCAAGATTGCAGACTTTGGGCTTGTGAGGGCGGGAGAGGGCACCACAGTGGGCGCTACTCGAGTCATGGGAACGCCGGGCTATCTGGATCCAGTTTACTCCAGGACGTCACTGGCAACTTCTGCCAGCGATGTCTACAGGTGAATTTAGAATCCCATAAGATCATGGCATGTAATTTAGATGACTCTTGGAGGTGCGATAGTCTAGGATTAACCTGGAACCGGCTCTACTCATTTCTGGCAACGCACAAGCAACGCATGAGCATGGAACCGTCTAGATTCTTTTGTTCTTCTTAATAATACCTTCTTGCTGCTCTCACCATCCCTCTTGCTTGACAGCTTCGGTGTGCTCATGCTTGTGGTCCTCACGGGGGAGGCTCCAATTGTTGAGTCGGCTGGAGAAACCAGGCAGATCACTTCTTGGGTGAGTGCAACCACCTTGTTGCATGTCTGCAAGTGAAGCCAATGAATCAGATATTTATGTCATTAGCTGCCTTTCACTCATCACCCCTCTTGTGCGTTTTCTCTCAGGCATTCGAGTGCGTGACCTTGGGTGACTTGGGGAGCCTCACTGACTCCAAAATTGAGGCCCCTGGGGATGCTGTGCTGCGTGTGACTCAGCTGGCGATCAGCTGCACTGTGGAGCGCACTGCAAGCCGGCCAAGCATGGCTCACATTGCCAACGAGCTGAAGGCCATCCGGGATGAGGTGGCGGGGAAGGATGAGCTGAGCGCTGCGAAGAAGGTGGATGCGCAGGTGCAGGAGATGAAGGAGGCATTTGGAGATGTGGATGCGTTTGAGGAGTCACTCAAGATGATTGGGGAGAGTTTTTCCAACGAGAACCATGTCTAAATCCGTTAAGGGTGTGATCATCGGAGGCCGGCTTCAGATTTCTTAGTACCGTTGATGTAAGTTGCCTTTTTGTTCTATGATGGTGGTGTTTTATTTTGTTTGCATCATGTCATCGTACTGTTGATCATTTTTGTCAAACGTGTGTATTTGTCATGTTTGTATAGACTGTATAGGGTCGCCTCTTAGAGGGTACAAAACTTAGGTATATCTGTGTGTACTCTCACTCCATCATTATTCACTTCTCTAATCTGATATGGTATCACGCGTAGGTTAGGATCCCTTCCCACCTACCGCTTCCGCTCGCCCCCCCTAGCCCCGTCGTGCCCCTAGCCTCGTCGCGACCCCCCTAGCCCCGTCGCACCCCTCTTGGGCCCCGTAGCGCCCCTCCTGGGCCCCGTCGCGCCCCTCCTGGGCCCCGTCGCGCCCTTCCTGGGCCCTGTAGCGCCCCTCCTGGGCCCCGTCGCGCCCCTCCCAGGCCCCGTCGCGCCCCTCTTGGGCTCCGTAGCGCCCCTCCTGGGCCCCGTCGCGCCCCTCCTGGGCTCCGTAGCGCCCCTCCTGGGCCCTGTAGCGCCCCTCCTGGGCCCCGTCGCGCCCTTCCTGGGCCCTGTAGCGCCCCTCCTGGGCCCCGTCGCGCCCCTCCCAGGCCCCGTCGAGCCCCTCCTGGGCTCCGTAGCGCCCCTCCTGGGCCCCGTCGCGCCCCTCCTAGGCCCTGTAGTGCCCCTCCTGGGCCCCGTCGCGCCCCTCCCAGGCCCCGTCGCGCCCCTCCTGGGCTCCGTAGCGCCCCTCCTGGGCCCCGTCGCGCCCCTCCTAGGCCCTGTAGCGCCCCTCCTGGGCCCCGTCGCGCCCCTCCCAAGCCCCGTCGCGCCCCTCCTGGGCTCCGTAGCGCCCCTCCTGGGCCCCGTCGCGCTCCTCCTAGGCCCCGTAGCGCCCCTCCTGGGCCTCGTCGTGCCCCTCCTGGGCCCTGTAGCGCCCCTCCTGGGCCGCGTCGAGCCCCCCTCCTGGGCCCCGTCACGCCTTCAGGCCCCGTCGCACCCGCCCGGCCCCGTCGCACCAGCCCGGCCCCGTCACGCTCGCCCGGCCCCGTCGCACCCGCCCGGCCCCGTCGCCCCCTGCCTGGCCCCGTCGCAGCCGCCCGGCCCCGTCGCACCCGTCCGGCCCTGTCGCGCCCGTCCAGCCCCGGTGCGCCCCTCCTGGGCCACCGTCCTGCTCGCCCGGCCCCGTTGCACCGGCCCGGCCCCGTCGAACCGCCCGGCCCCGTCGCACCAGCCCGGCCCCGACGCACCCGCCCGGCCCCGTCGCACCAGCCCGGCCCTGTCGCGCCCGCCCGGCCCCGTCGCACTCGCCCGGCCCCGTCGCACCCGCCCGGCCCCGTCGCACCAGCCCGGCCCCATCGCGCCCGCCCGGCCCCGTCGCCCCCGCCCGGCCCCGTTGCACCGACCCGGCCCCTGCGCTCGTCCCTTCCCCGGCCCCGGTCCTCCTCACTGGTACGGTTCTCCCCCCCCCCCCCCCCCCCCGCCCTGCACTGCCCTGCACCGTACTGCCCCGCACTGCACCACCCCGCACCACCCTGTACTGCCTGGCACCGCACTGCACAGCCCTACACCGCACTGCACCGCACTGCGCCGCACTGTACCGCACGGCACCGCACTCCACCTTGCTGCAGTGCCCTGCACCGCACTGCACTGTTCCTGATGGCGGCGGAGCTTCGCTTCGACGCTAAAGGCCAGCCTTTGGAGTTCGAGGCGTGGCTTGCCGACCTCCGTCGCGAACTCACTGGCCAGCAGCAGGATGGTGAACCGCTTTCCGCACACCTTGACGGTACGCTCCCCTGCCCAGACCCCCCTGCTATTCTGCCCGCTGACTCCACACCCACTGAGCGCGAGTCCACTGCTGCCACTGCCCGTGCGCGCTCTGTCTGGCTTTCTCGCGATGCTGTCGCCCAGCTTGCCATTAGCAACGCCCTTCCCCCGTCCGAGCGCCCTCGCTTTAGGTCTCTCACTACTGCTCAGGCATACTTAGATGCTGTCATCCAGCGCTATTCCACCCCTCCGGCTGCCTCGGTGGGTCGCCTGATCCTCCCGATGCTCTTTCCTGACCTTGCATCTTTCCCCACTGTCTCTGACCTCGCTGCCCACCTGCGCTCGATAGATGAGACCTGGCGCGCTGCCTGCACTGACGCACAGCTTAGAGCACACCAGCCGCCCATTACCTCTACCCTCTACCTGCTTGCCACCCGCCTCCCTGACCGCCTTGCTGTCGCCCGCGACCGCTTCCTTAGCATTCACCCCGCAGACCTCACCCTCACTGACTTTGTAGACACCCTGACTGTGATAGAGACCCGTCACTGCTCCATCGCCCAGGCGAGCGGTGTCGTGCCGGTCCCTATCTTTCAGGGTTGTGCCCCCGCCCAGTGTACTTTCTCCGACGGCTCTGCCGCAGTGGCTGAGACTGCTGCTGCAGTGCAGTTTCGTTCGGGAAGGGCCGCCGCCCCAAGGCTGGGCGCGGCGGCGGCGGCGGGGGGGGTGCGGGAGGGGGTAGTGGTGGTGTCGGGTCGTCTGGTGCTGGAGCGGACGAGGGGACCCTGCCCAGTCCAGCTGAGCCACCGCCCCTGCAGTTGCAGCAGCCGCAGCAGCCGTCGCAGACGCGCCAGACGAGTGTCCTCCCGCCCGGGTTGCCCGGCGCTGGCGGTGGCCGGGCGCGTGGTGGTGTGCCGAGTGGTGGCTCTGGCGGCGGGCGTTGTCAGTACCAGATCCAGACCGGTCCTCGCCGCGGCTTCGTTTGCGGTAAGATCGGTCTCTCCACTCCCCGCTGTTTTCGTCGCCTGGACGACCTCTTTCGTCAGCGCTTCGGCCCGTCGCCAGACCTCCCAGACTGGCACAGTTTGCTTAGTCGTAAGATTCAGATTTTTGATATGGACATGGATGCCATTGTTTCTGCTCTGCATGTGATGTATGCTGATGACTCTAGTGTGCTTCCCGCCTATTACTCACTGTTGCCTAGTGTAGGTGTGCCAAGCTTAGCCTCCCCTGCTGCGTCAGGCGTAGGATCTCTTGCTTTGTGTAGTCTTGGTGCTTCCGCCGGCGTTCCGTCGCCAGACGCCTCTGCTTCGCTTTCCTTCACCTTGGACTCTGGCGCTTCTCGGTGTTTCTTCCCGCGACTCCACCACCCTGACGCCGCTTCCTGTTCCAGCTGTCGTTTCTCTTGCTGACCCTCCGGCGGTCCGGTAGTCGCTCGCAGTTCCACCACCCTTCCCTGTCCGGCCGTTCCTTCGGGCACTCTCACAGGTCTGCATATCCCTCGTTCTCCAGGAACCTAGTTGGTGTCGGCTGCCTCCAGGACCTTGGCGTCACCACTACGTTCCCTGGTCACGAGCGGTATGCTGTCTGTACCGAGGCCGCACTGGTGCCCCCTGTCCACGTTCCCCCGGGACCCGGTGTCCGGCCTGTTCACTCTGGACACCGTGACCCCCCCGGCTGGAGCGCTCACCCAGGTTGCTGCTGCCTGCTCCTGTCGGTCCCTCACTCACCCGACCCTCCTTTGGCACCACCGCCTAGGTCACCCTGCGCTCCCGCGTCTGCGTCACATGTCCCAGCACGGTCTTGTCCTTGGTCTCCCAGGTTCTCCCCGCGTTTCCCTCCTCCCCAGCCCCACCTTGCACGCCTTGTGTCGAGGGTCGGCTTCGCCGTGCCCCTCACTCCTCCTCGTTTCCCCCTACCGCCGCCCGCTGCAGACCCTGCACCTGGACGTCTGGGGCCCCGCCCCCGTCCCTGGGCCGCGTCGAGAGCGCTACTTCCTTGTGCTTGTCGACGACTTCACTCGTTACACCACAGTCTTTCCCCTGGAGCGCAAGGCCGACGTGCCTGGCGCTCTCATCCCCTGGCTTGTCTCTGCGCGTGTCCACCGCGGTCTCCCTGTCTTGCGTCTTCACTCAGACCGTGGTGGCGAGTTTGCCTCAGGTGTCCTTGGTCGCTTTTGTCGTGCGGAGGGCATCACCCAGACGTTCACCCTACCGGACTCCCCACAGCAGAATGGGGTCGCTGAGCGACGCATCGGTTTGGTCATGGAGGTGGCTCGCACCTCCATGATCCATGCCGGTGCACCCCATTTTCTGTGGCCGTTCGCTGTGCGCTACGCTTCTCACCAGCTTAACTTGTGGCCGCACCCTCAGCAGCCGCAGGTTTCGCCGACCCGTCTTTGGACTGGGTCTCCTGGTGACGCGTCTGCGTTCCACGTCTGGGGCTGCCTTGCTCACGTCCGTGCCTCCGGCACGGACAAGCTCACTGCCCGCACCCTTCCCTGCGTCTTCCTCGGTTTTCCCCTTGACGCGTCCGACTGGCACTTTTACCACCCGCCGTCTCACCGCTTCTTTCACTCTCGTGACGTCACCTTTGACGAGTCCGTCTCCTACTACCGTCGCTTCCCCCACCGTGGTCCCCCGGTTACCCCCCCCTGTTCCTGGTCACTCCTTCCCGGTAGTCCCTGCCCTCCTCCTCCTCCTCCCCGTCCCCCTCTGGTGTGTCCCACGTCACCCCCCTTCCGTCGGTGGACCCGGTTGAGGAGTCTTCTGACTCTGGTGGCCCTCCTGTTCAGTCCTCGCCGGCCGCCCCTCCCCTGGCGTCCCTCCCCAGTCCCCCCTCCACCGCCTCTGCCGCCGCTGCAGCCGTCGTTGTCGCGCCCGCCGCCGCCCGCCCGTCAGCCCCGTTCGCTGACTCTGGGGGTGCTCGTCCCGGTAGCCCTGGGGGTGGTCCCTCTGGGGGTGCTGGTGTGGAGAGTGCCGGTGGTAGCCGAGGAGCAGCTTGCGGTCCAGGTGTCGCCGTTGTGCCGCCGCAGCAGCAGTCCCGCCGGTGTCAGCCCTTCGCCTGCTCGGCCTTCCGTCCCCCGACCCTGCGTCGGTTCCTCCCCGACCGTCTCCTCCTCTTCCTGTCTACGGCCCTGTTCCCTCCGCCGGACTCGTCCCCGGCCGTCTCCCCCTCGTTCCCCTCCTGTGTCCCCTCCTCTGTCTCCTGACCCGACTCCTCCGTCGCACGTCTGGTCTCACCGTCCCTCCCGTGCTCGTCCTGCCCCC